CTCACGTGCCATTGGATGAAATGTTTTTCGCGAAATGCATCTTTTTCATTCACGGAGTTGGCACTACAAAGTCCATTTTTTTAAATAATTTGCTCATGAATTATGTTCACCTGGCAACCAGAACACTTTACTTCGTGAATTAGGAGCAGAAACAGTAGCGATTGGGTATGTCTATTCGACATGAGCGTTCCACTTTAATTTAATGTCTCTGGCTGTAATTAACCTTGTATAAATGTATACGTACGTGCTTCAAGCCCTCTTTGATCCGGTTTGCTTTTAACTTGACTTCATTTTATTAAATTGACTTGTAATGGACCTTTCAAGATTTTGACATTTTTAATCTTCTCATACAAGGGACTATTTTATGATTAGATCAATACTCTCGAGATTTTCAGTTGATGTTCCATTTCTCATTTAAGTACTTAAATTTCATCGATTTCTTTCGATTTTTCGAGTATTCTACACACGACTTTTTTCGATTTTTCAAATTTTTCCGATTCTTCAGATACATTTTATCAAATGCTTCCATTTTTTTTGGAAATTTTCTGATTCTAAAGATCCCTACAGTTTTTTTCAGATTCTTCTGTGTTTTCGAATTCTACTATTTTTCATATTCTTTCTCTTCTATTTTTAGTGTTCACACTTTAGATCTACAAAATGCACTCTTTATCATTTCGGCATCTATGTTAAGACCGTGACTAAACACCATTCAATTTGCTTATATAGCAAACAAAAAACTTTTAGATAAGTCTCGGATCAGTACGTCATATTTTATGGAAAGAATGAGTCACATCCGCTTTCATTCATTGTCGCCGTCGACTAATCCTTTATCGACGTGATGATATCTCGAAAATGTTCTCGTTACAGACGTATACGCATCTTAACATTTATAACACTGGTGCGAATTTCACTATTTATCACTTCGGCATCGATGTTAATACTGAGACAAACAATTCAATTTGTGTATATAGCAAAACAAAAAGGTTTTAGAGAAATCTCGAATCAACATATCTGATTTCATGGAAAGAATTAGTCACATCCGCTATTCCTTAACGTCAGTCAGTAATTGCTTACCACCGGTATTGTACCTCGAGAATGTTCTCGTTACGGACTGTATGCACATCTGAACAATTATAATACGAGCGCGAATTTCACTATTTATCACTTGGGCCTCCATGTTAAGACTGAGACTAAACACAATTCAATTTCCTTATATAGCAAACAAAAAGCTTCTAGATAAGTCTCAGATCAGCATATCATATTTCATGGCCACGTGCGCTTTCAATTCTTTACGTCGGTTATTAATCGTTTATTAGTTTGCCAGTGCCTCGACGATGTTCTCGTTACAAAATGCATGCGCATCTGAAGATTTATAACACGAGCGCGAATTTCACCATTTATCACTTCGGCGTCGATGTTAAGACCGAGACTAAACTCCTCGCTAAACTCAATTCAATTTGCTTGCATAGTAAACAAAAAGCTTCTAGATAAGTTTCAGATCATATTTCATGGAGGATGAGTCACGCTCAGTTACATTCCTTTATTACCGGTGACCACTCGTTTATGACAGTGCCTCGAGAATGTTCTCGTTACAGAATGTATGCACATGCACATCTTAGCATTTATAACACGAACGCGAATTTTACTATTTATCACTTCGGCATCGATGCTAAGACTGATACTAAACACAATTCACTTTGCTTATATGGCAATTATCGATTTGGTGGTACCTCGACAGTGTTCTCGATATAGAAATGTATGCACATCTGAACAGTTATAACACGAGCGCGAATTTCACTATTTATCACTTTGGTATCGATGTTAAGACTGAGACAGAACACAATTCAATTTGCTCATATAGTTTTTAGAGAAGTCTCGGATCAGTACATCCTATTTCATGGAAAGAATGAGTCACATCCGCTTTCATTCCTTATCGTCAGTGACTAATATTTTATCAAGTTGGTGGTACCTTGAGAATGTTCTCGATACAGAAATATATGCACATCTGCACAGTTGTAACACGCTAATTTCACTATTTATCACCGGAACCAATGTTAAGACTAAGACTAAACAAAATTCAATTTGCTTATGTAGCAAACAAAAGTGTTTATAAAACCTCTACCCAGAAGGTCATATTTCATGGAAGTAATGAGTTACATTCGGTTTCATTCCTTACCGTCGATGATAAATTGTTCATAAACTTGACCGTGCCTCGAGAATGTTCTCGTGACAGTATGCACATCTTAACATTTATAGCACGAGCACGATTTTCACTATTTATCACTTCGGCATCGATATTAAGACTGAGACGAAACACATTTCAATTTGCTTATATAACAAACAAAAAGTTTTTAGAGAAATCTCGAACCGGCATATCCGATTTCGTGGAAAGAATGAGTCACATCCGCCTTTATTCCTTATCGTCAGTCAGTAATCGTTTATCAACGTGATCGTACCTCAAGAATGTTCTCGTTACGGACGGTATGAACATTTATTATGAGCGCGAATTTCACTATTTATCACTTCGACATTGATGTTAAGACTGAGACTAAACACAATTCAATTTCCTTAGCAAACAAAAAGCTTGTAGATAAGTCGCAGATCAGCATATCATAATTCATGGTCACGTCCGCTTTCAATTCTTTACGTCGGTGATTAATCGTTCATCGATTTGCCAGTGCCTCGAGAATGTTCTCGTTACAAAATGCATGCGCATCTGAAGATTTTTATAACACGAGCGCGAATTTCACCATTTATCACTTCGGCATCTATGTTAAGACCGAGACTAAACTCCTCGCCAAACTCAATTCAATTTGCTTGCATAGCAAACAAAAAGCTTCTAGATAAGTTTCAGATCATAATATCATATTTCATGGAGAATGAGTCACGCTCAGTTACGTTCCTTTATTACCGGCGACTACTCGTTTATGACAGTGCCTGGAGAATGTTCTCGTTACAGAATGTATGCACGTCTGAGCATTTATAACACGAACGCGAATTTTACTATTTATCACTTCGGCATCGATGCTAAGACTGAGACTAAACACATTTCAATTTGCTTATATAGCAAACAAAAAGTTTTTAGAGAAGTCTCGAATTAGTATACCCTATTTCATGGAAAGAATGAGTCACATCCGCCTTCATTCCTTACCCTATGGTGACTAATCGTTCATCAACTTGAATGTTCTCGTTACGGACTGTATGCACATCTGAATATTTTATAGTTATAATAACAGAGCCAATTTCACTATTTATCATTTTAGTATCGATGCTAAGACTGAAACTAAACAATTCAATTTGCTTATATAGCAAACAAAAGGTTTTTATGGAACTCTCGGAACAGCATATCATATTTCATGGAAAGAATGAGTCACGTCCGCTTTCATTCCTTTACGTCGCCGCCTAATCGTTTGTCAATTTGATCGTGCCTGGAGAATGTTTTCGTTATAGAATGTACGCACATCTGAACATTTATAACACGAGCGCGAGGTTCACTATTTATCACTGAGGGATCGATGTTAACACTGAGACTACACATTTCAAGTTGCTTATATAGCAAACAAGAAGCTTCTAGGTAAGTCTCAGATCTGCATAATCATATTGATGGTAAGAATGAGTCACGTCCGCTTTTATTCCTTTTTGCTGGTGACTAATCGTTTCTTGGCCGTGCCTCGAGAATGTTCTCGTTATAAAATGTATGAACATCTGAACATATATAACTCGAGCGCGAGTTTCACTATTTATCACTTCGGCATCGATGTTAAGACTAAAACTAAACACATTTCAATTTGCTTATATAGCAACCCAAAAGTTTTTAGAGAAGTCTCGAATCAACGTACCCCATTTCATGGAAAGAATGAGTCCCATCCGCCTTCATTCCTTATCGTCGGTGAGTAATCGTTTTATCAACTTGACCATACCTCGATAATGCTTTCGTTGGAATGTATGCACATTTGAACACTGATAATAAGAGCGCAAATTTCACTATTTATCATTTTGCTATCGATGTTAAGACTGAGACTAAACAATTCAACATGTTTTTTCATTGTCTTCAATCTCTAACTATAGAATCTCTCAAAGTCTGCGTGGCTCATTTGGTTAGGCGCTAGCTTTCTATTTCAGGTATCGTGGGTTCGATTCCCACGCAGATAAAAAAAAGTTTTTTTCTATAGCAATCACGTGACCGATGACGCGGGTCCAAAATAACATCCAAGATGGCGGATGGAGCGAGAGAGGCAGACAGACGGTCCAAAATGGTACCCAACAAAATGCGGATTTACTAACTAATAAATGGCGACCAATCCAAGATGACGTTCAATAAAATGGCGGGATTTGAGACTAATAAAATGGCGGCCGTAAAATGGTGGGATTTGAGACTAATAAAATGGCAGCCGATCCAAGATGGAGGATTTAGTGACTAATAAAATGGCGGGATTAGAGACTAATAAAATGGCGACTAACAAAATGGCATATTTAATAACTAATAAATGGCGACTGATTTGGTCATAATTTTTTTGGCCTGCATAGAATTGCAAAGAGATAAGAGAACACGAGATTACCATTACCAATTTTTAGATTATTAATCTTAATGCTCGCGTTATCTCCCTTAATGACATGGCCTTGAATAATGATCTTGTTTACAAATAAACTTACAACAAGTACACACTCAATACTGATTCATTCTCCAATTTGGCACCGGATGCTATTGGCACAGTCACAGGGTTTTAGGAATTTGAGTACATATTTGCTATTCCCATGATTGCAAGAATTATTGATGGCCAAATAACTACGCCACTGTTACCGAAAGTGAAATCTCTAAACTGGTTCACTGCAACTTCCGCGTGCACGAAAGTGCACCGAGGTCAAGTTCAGTGTCGGACCGGTGCATAAACAAATCACACCAGACGGCCTTGAGGTTACGTAAATCGGCGAGAATTAGATTATAGTCGCGCGATGGCTTCATTAACGCATTAAACGTTTTTTTCTTCTTGTTCTTCCAGCTGATGAAATTTGCCAAGACGATATTGGGCGAGCGACTGTTTTCCGCCGTGATGAAGGCGACATTTTACGGGCACTTCGTCGCCGGAGAGGACCAGATCAAGATCAGGCCGACGCTCGAGAGGCTGAGATCGTTCGGCGTCAAGCCCATACTCGACTATTCCGTCGAGGAGGACATCAGCCAGGAGGAGGCGGAGAAGAGAGAAGTCGAGTAGGTATTTTGCATTCGACAATAACGTTTTTCTGTAAAAAAAGCGCCATTTTGCGCATAGTTTCTTGGGGATCTGGCGCTCTTTTATTTGGTGAGATAAGGAAAACTTAAAGATTATTAAATCCAGCATGCCGTGTGCTGTCAGGATGCGTGACAATTTTTTCTAATTCATTTATTGTGCTATGGTTCATGTCTTCGCTATTAGGCGGTTGTCTTGGATAAAATGTAATGGCCCCGTTCAAATTTTTTTCCAGAGCTTCAGTGCCCGAAGCGGGCGACACACAAGAGACGGGATCCCTAAAGCAGTACCACGTTGCCAAACCTTTCGCCGATCGGCGTTACAAAGTCAGCTCGGCTCGAACGTACTTCTACATAAACGAGGCGCAATGCGAGCGCAACATGGAAATATTCATTCGCTGCCTCGAGGCAGTAGCTGGTTAGTATCCTCTTCGGTCCCGCGCTGAGAACAATTCCAGAAAGACTAACTCTGACCCTTTTCTTTTTTCGGATATATTGCAGATTATGAAAGAATTGGTAGACAATTGTCCGTTAACAGTAAGTTTCACTGGTCCTTATTGTATCTACCGCCTTTTGTTTTGTTCTGTTACGAGGTAAACCATTTTAATTTCTACACGCTCCACCTCTCCCTATCGCTAACACTATCCGAACATGAAACCGTAGATAGTGGTTAAAGTTTACCGCTTTAATTTCAGGCGCGACGTACGGCACCGGCCTAACCGCAATTAAACTGACAGCCCTAGGCAGACCGCAACTATTGGTAAGTTCACCGCGCTCGAATTACGCCGAGTAAAAACGCATTTTTAGCTGCAATTATCCGAGGTGATTATGCGAACGCGAGAGTATATGGCCGAACTGGCCGGAGATAGGGGGAACGTGCTCAAGCACCACATAAAGCCGCAGGATTTGGAAAAGAAATTGGAGCAGGCGCACGTTTCCAATCAGGACGCCACCGCGTTTCTGAAACGGGTTACCTCGGACAACGAAGGGTGGGTATTAGTGGCTATTCCCCGTCCTGTCGCATTATCTACCTTTTATTGAAATAACAATATTTGAATCCAACCAAAGGAATGGAATCACTGAAATTAAATGCATTTTTCCAATTAACTCTCCTTGGAAAATGCCTTTAGGGGTACAGTGAATAGTCCGGTAACGTTACACCTTCGTGATGAATACAAAATTTGGCTAAAGAAAAGTATCGTTTTTATTTCCAGACATACTTTCGTTCACGTTCGCTATGAAGCGGTATATGTATATATTTTTCTACGTTGAATAAACCCAAATTTTATATGAGAGCGTTAACAATTGTACACCTTGTGATACTATGAGCCTGATACAGTAATTTTAAAAAGGGATTTTGTATTAGGAGTACATAATACCCACAACAGTGTGCTCCTACTACATTTTTTAAAAATCGATGTGAAATTTTAATTTCGTAATTATTAAATGGCCGAGTTTATGGCTAATTTCTGTTCCTAGTTTTTTGAAAGGCGCAAGCTAACAATATTCAGAAGTGGGATATAGAACGTCAGGAACAAATTCAAGTGTGGGCCGATTAATGAAACCTCACGCCGAATGGCAACGGATATGTTGAAAATGATGATGACGATGATAAAGAGCAAATTGTGTCTGGATTGATGCAGAAAGCATCAAATGGCTTATTGCTTGGTATCGTATCCCTGCAAGGAGTAACACGAACTGGCTAGACACTACGAAAATCGTGGCGAGACAAATTGTTCGGTGGAGAAAACGCGAGACACGACGCCACATTTTCATAACACGCTAGATGTAGAAGCTGCAGGTTACTACTTGCTTATTTTTTATGGACGCCATTTTGGATTTTTAAGGAGTGAGATAGATTTGTATCTATTTCAGTTTTTCGTATATGTTAAAGCAAATGCGCGCGAACGTGATTTTGGTAAGAAAACTCAATAAGGGACACCAGTGGGAGTAGACCGAGTCTACATTTTCCATTTCTCTTACATTGCATTGACCGTAAAGTTGATTAATTTTATGCTTTATACTATATACCTTTGTTTGACGACTCGACCCCCACCAGAATAGCAGAATAAGTATTAAAATATCAAAAAAAAACCAAGCAAATTATTATAATTGTAAATGAGAAAACTAATGACGTCAAATTAAAAACTATCAAAAGTAAGCATACACTTTGAAATATTTAAAATGTGCACGGTGTGATTTGTATAATGCACTCCGATTTGCAAATACAAATTGTTTTCAAAATGAAATGCAAAAGAGCATAACATAATGTAACAGGTGACCGCTTTGCCGTTTAAAAAAATGTGGGTTTGTTCAACGTAGGAAAATTTATACATATACCGCTTCATAGCGAACGTGAACGAAAGTATGTCTGGAAATAAAAACGATAACAAGGTAAAACATCAGTGAGACCGGATTGTAAGGTTTTCGGCAGACGAGGTGTGAGTTTGCTGTGAGAATTTTATTTAGCGAGCGGTTACGGGCCATTTTAGATGCGCTAAAACTTTCGTTCATAAAAATTTATTAAGTAGCGTTAAGGCTTAATTTATCTATATAAATAAAAATGTCTGTCTGTCTCTTTCGCCGGTCTCAACCGTTCAACTGATTGCGATCAAACTTGAGGGAATGGTTTGACGTATGCCCGCGAAAGTTTTGGAGTTAGTAAAGTACGTTTCGAAATTCCCACGGAAACGGGAACGGGGTACGGGAGACAACGGCGGTGCGGAGTTCGGCGGGACTGCTAGTTAGTAATACCGCTATGAAGCGGTATATTTTTCTACGTTGAATAAACCCAAATTTTATATGAGAGGGTTAACAATTTTACACCTTGTAATACTATGAGCCTGATACCGTAATTTTAAAAAGGGATTTTGTATTAGGAGTACATAATACCCACAAAAGTGTGCTCCTATTACATTTTTTAAAAATCATTGTGAATTTTTAATTACTTAATTTTAAATAACCGAGTTTGTGGCTATTTCCTGATTCTAGTTTCTCGAAAGGAGAGCTAACACACCTGATAAACTGAACATGCTTCAGAATTTCCACAATACGGTAGATGTAGAAGCTACAGTTTTTTTTATTGACGCCATTTTGGATTTTTAAGGAGAGACAGTTTTGTATCTATTTCAGTTTGTCGTACGTGCTAAAGCAAATGCGCGCGAAAGTGACTTTCGTAAGAAAACTCAATAAGGGTCACCGGTGGGAGTAGACCGAGCCTATATTTTCCATTTCTCTGACCGTAAAGTTGATTCACTTTATGCTTATGCAATATACCTTTGTTTGACAACTCGACTCCGACCCGAATAGTAGAATAATTATTAAAATATCGCAAAAAAACGCTAAAAAATCAAGCAAACTATTATAATTCTAAATGAGAAACCAATGACGTCAAATTAAAAACTAGCAAAGGTAAGTAGGCATACACACTTTGAAATATTTAAAATGTGCACGGTGTGATTGTATATAAATCACTCCGATTTCCAAATAAAAATTGTTTTCAAAATGAAATGCAAAAGAGGATAACATAATGTAACAGGTGGCCGCTTTGCCGTTTAAAAAAATGTGGGTTTGTTCAACGTAGGAAAATTTATAAATATACCTCTTCATAGCGAACGTGAACGAAAGTATGTCTGGAAATAAAAACGATAACAAGGTTAATGAGACCGGATTGTAAGAAGGTTTTCGGCAGACGAGGTGAGAGTTTCGCAGGAAAATTGGCGAGTGGTTACGGACTATTTTAGATGCGCTAAAACTTTCGTTGATAAAAATTTATTAAGTAGCGATAAGGCTTAATTTATCTATATAAATAAAAATGAAAGTTTGTCTGTCTGCCTCTTATGCCGGTCTAAACGTTCAACCGAGATTGCGATGAAACTTTGGGGAATGGTTGGACGTATGCCCGCGAAAGTTTTTGAGTTAGTAAAATACGTTTCGAAATTCCCACGGAAACGTCAACGGGGTACGGTGCGGAGTTCGGCGGGACTGCTAGTTAGTAATACCTATACTGATAGCGACTCTACTCAGTGCTCTAGGTCCTTTTCGTCCGTTTTAGTCCGTTCCGTTACAGAATTCTGCACTTATTCCCGTGGTCGGGAATAATCGACGACAACCAGGAATTGTGCAGTACATTCCGGATTCCCGACATGAAAACGGGCCGCATGGTTCCCTTGATCGGTCAATTATCGAAAAAGGAGGAGGAAATGTTTCGCAATTTCGTCAGGCGCTTGGATACGATCGTCAGGGTAAGTTTGGCTCGTTCCGCCGGCCCGAATTTCGGATTTAATCGCAGGCGGCGCAAGAGATGGACGTTCGCATAATGGTCGACGCCGAGCAGACCTACTTCCAACCGGCGATTACGCGCATGACGCTCGAATTCATGCGAAAGTACAACAAGGAGAAGGCCATCGTTTTCAACACGTACCAGTGCTACCTGCGGGAGGCGTACAACGAAATCACGACCGATCTCGAGCAGGCCAAACGGCAGAACTTCTACTTCGGCGCGAAGCTGGTGAGAGGCGCGTACATGGACCAGGTGAGTTCGAGACGGTCGGCTTAAGGCTCGATTACACACCGACATCTTAACCAGGAACGCGCGAGGGCCGCCGCCTTGGGCTATCCCGATCCGATCAATCCGACGTACGAGGCGACGACCGAAATGTACCACACCACCTTGACGGAGTGTCTCAGACGTATCAAGGATATGAAGGAGAAGGGGGAGAGTAAGAACAAGATCGCGATCATGGTGGCGTCTCACAACGAGAACACCGTACGGTTCGCGATCGACAAAATGAAGGAGATCGGCGTGCAGCCGGAAGATAAAGTGATATGCTTTGGACAGCTCCTTGGCATGTGTGATTATATTACATTCCCGCTCGGTGAGTATTTTTGTGCTAAAAAGAGAGAACCACAGCCAACTATTATCAGAACAATTATATTGACTCCTGTAACCTTTTGACTCTGTATAGACTGGTGGACACGGAAGGTATTAGAATCTTGAAACTTGGTCCAAGTAAAAACCCTATCGAATTTGGGTGTCCACCCGTTCGTAACAATCATCATAAAAATCTGAGACTAATCTTAAAATTCATGTTAACTTAGCGCGCTTCCAACAATACCAAATACATACATTGTTGATTGAAATTTAAAAATTTCTTTATAAAGATTGGTGAATAATCTGGCGTTTTAAAATAAGTATACGGGGTCAGCTAAAGAAGTTATCAAGAGCTAATTTAATTTTTTTAATGGAACACCCTGTATATTTTAATCTAAAAATTCTCTTTTCAAAAATATAACACGCTACGCATGGATATTTGAAAACGACAAAAAATGAGTAAACTGATAAAAAAAACTTTTTGAATCTTTTTGAACCAATAGTGAATTTTTTAGTGTGATATTTTTGGAAAAGAATAAAATCTACAGTGTTTTATTTAAAAAAAATGAGCATAGGTTCGATATCTTTTTTACCTGATATTTTTGATTTTTTTAAAATCTGTTTGAACTAATATTGAATTTTGTTGTTTATCACAAATCGCCAGAAAAATAGCATATTAAATTCTCTTTTCAAAAATATAACACACTACGGATGGATTTTTGAAAACGACAAAAATGTTTAAACAATGATTTAAAAAAAATAAAAACTTTTTGAATCTTTTTGAACCAATAGTGAATTTTTGTAGTGTGATACTTTTGGAAAATAATAACATATAGCGTTTTATTAAAAAAAAATGAGGATAGGTCCGATATCTTTTTTGCCTGACCCTGTATACTTATTTTTTATCTTTTTTGAATCTGTTTGAACCAATATTGAATTTTGTTGTTTACCACAAATCGCCAGAAAAATAGCATATTAAATTCTCTTTTCAAAAATATAACACACTACGGATGGATATTTGAAAACGACAAAAAATGTTTAAACAATGATTAAAAAAATTATAAAAACTTTTTGAATCATTTTGAACCAATAGTGAATTTTTCTAGTGTGCTATTTTTGGAAAAGAATAAAATATCAGGTTTTATTTCAAAAAAATGAGAGTATGTCCTATATCTTTTTTACCTGACCCTGTATACTTATTTATTATCTTTTTTGAATCTGTTTGAACCATCATTGAATTTTGTTGTTTATCACAAATCGCCCGAAAAATAGCATATTGAATTCTTTTTTCAAAAATATAACGCACTGCGGATGGATATTTGAAAAAGACAAAAAATGTTTAAACAATGATTTAAAAAAAATAATAAAAACTTTTTGAATCTTTCTGAACCAATAGTGAATTTTTCTTGTGTGATACTTTTGGAAAAGAATAAAATATACAGTTTTATTTTAAAAAAGTCTGATATCTTTTTTTTACCTGACCCTGTATACTTTTTTTTTTTATTTTTTTTGAATCTGTTTGAACCGTTATTGAATTTTGATGTTTATCACAAATCGCCAGAACAATAGCATATTGAATTCTCTTTTCAAAAATATAACACACTACGGATGGATATTTGAAAACGACAAAAAATGTTTAAACAGTGATTTAAAAAAACAATCTTTTTGAATCTTTTTGAACCAATAGTGAATTTTTTTAGTGTATTAAATTCTCTGTTCACAAATATAACACACTACGGATGGATATTTGAAAAAGACAAAAATGCTGAAACAATGATTAAAAAAAATCTTTTTGAATATTTTTGAACCAATATTGACTTTTTAGTGTGATATTTTTGGAAAAGAATAAAATACTTTTTTAAAAATCTTTTTTGAATCTGTTTGAACCAATATTGGATTGTGTTGTTTATTACAAATCGCCGGAAAAATAGCATATTAAATTCTCTTTTCAAAAATATAACACACTACGGATGGATATTTGAAAACGACAAAAAATGTTTAAACATTTTTGAATCTTTTTGAACCAATAGTGAATTTTCTTAGGGTGATATTTTTGGAAAATAATAAATATACAGGGTTTTTATTTTAAAAAATGAGGATAGGTCCGATATCTTTTTTACCTGACCCTGTATACTTATTTTTGATTTTTTTAAAATCTGTACCAATATTGAATTTTGTTGTTTATCACAAATCGCCAGAAAAACAGCATATTATATTCTCTTTTCAAAAATATAACACACTACGGATGGATATTTGAAAACGACAAAAAATGTTTAAATGATTTTTAAAAAAAGTTTAAATCTTTTTGAACCAATAGTCAAATAGTGAATTTGTTTAGTGTGCTATTTTTGGAAAAAAATAAAATATACAGTGTTTTATTTAAAAAAATGAGGATAGGTCCGATATCTTTTTTATCTGACTCTGTATACTTATTTTTGATCTTTTTTGAATCTGTTTGAACCAATATAGAATTTTGTTGTTTATCACAAATCGCTAGAAAAATAGCATATTAAATTCTCTGTTCAAAAATATAACACACTACGGATGGATATTTGAAAAAGACAAAAAATTAAAAAAAAAGAAAAGCTTTTTGAATCTTTTTTAACCAATAGTGAAGTTTGTTGTTGTTTAGCACAAATCACCAGAAAATGTAAAAACAAATAATATCCCAAAAATACAAATTTGGTACCTAACTTTTAAATGGAACACCCTGTATATTTTTCAAAAAATTTCAGGTCAATCCGGATACTCGGCCTACAAGTATATTCCGTACGGTCCAGTAAAAGAAGTGCTGCCGTACCTGTCGCGACGAGCGCAGGAGAACAAGGGCATCCTCAAGAAAATTAAGAAGGAGAAGCGACTACTCAGTCGCGAGATTTTGAGACGTCTCGCGAGAGGGCGTCTATTCTATACACCGAAGGGCAACTATATTCCTGTTTAAGCGGTAAGTTTTGGCTCGTCTCGCCTCGCCGCGTTTAACGCGCGTTTTCTTTTTTAGACCACGACACCACGTAGTGTAGAACGAGAGATCGAACAGAAAATAGCGAAGGAGTCTGCGTGAAAATTGTCGAAATGGGTCTTTGTACATTTTGTAAATTTGTGTGAGAGGAGCTTTAGCTGTACAGTGTCCAAGTAAAGTTCATGTCTCCCCCCCCCGCCCCCCTCCTCTGTAATTCACGCGGACTTGACGTGTACAGTAATTTATTTTTGACACTTGCGTAGAGTATTAAAAAACAGTTCGGTAATCGCGGCTGGACTGCGATTGCGTTCCAAAACGGTGATAGAACTTAGATCTGTGCTTGTTTTCCTGTTAAATTTTTCTAGATTGGTCGCCGATTTCATTTTTTGTCAATAACTTTGTTAACCTGTGATAGTCGTAGTTGGAAAGTATTATTATTATTTATTTTTAAGACTTAGTATTTTTCGTGTGAACGATTACGGATTATGTGCGTAATTAATGGATCAAATGTTTGTTCTGTGTGCTTATTTCAACAAAATTTTATAAAAATTGACAATAAAAGTGAGAGGGGATGTGCTTTTTTTTATTTCTTAGTACCATTTTGTTTGTTGTTGTTTTTATTAAACCCACAAGGAGTACTTTGGATCTTGGGGGTCCCCCAGAACTACAGTGACATAATAGAAACCCAGGCGCCATGTTGCATCGAAAAATCAAATTAGATGTAGGCAACACACAATACACGTGTGACATTTGTTCCACTGACTTGTTGTTTGTTACTAACATTTTTCTCCGTGCATGAAGCAGTCATGGGGTGGTAAAAACTAGAGTCAAAATTGAGGTACGACACCTAATTCCGTGATTGTCTTCGACTTTCAACTGTAGGCTCAAAACCCCCAAACCAGGGGCGTGTTACCTGTCTTGCAGGAGCGGAATTACGCTAATCAAAGCTCTTCAGTTTAGAATCTATGTGCGATAAATGAGTTACGATTCGTAATGTCCGCATATCTTGTTTTTAGTTAAATTTGCCTACAAGGCCATGTAATTTTCCTTCTTGCTTTTAACAAAAGGACTTTATTGCACCAAAGGTGAGTCACATCCTGTGTATTTCACCCTTTCTTAGAATCTTGGTACCTGTATACCTGACCCATAATTCCCAAAACTTGTTTTTAACCCATATGTTACTTCTTGAAGTTTACCTGCTACTTTTTGTGATGTTATAATTTTATGTTACGCATTCACATGATTACAAACAATTAATTTTACAACACAATTTGATATTAATTTGACGGCTGGTTTTTTTATTGGTAAGTTCTTTTTTTCCCAACCTATTTCTATTTTGATTCGGTGAACTACCAATTTCAAAGTTTATTTTTGCAATGTAATTTATTTCGACTTAAATTTCCGAGCTTTCACAATCTTAATAATTGCGATCATTATTAAACAAACTGTTCACAATTTCAGTGTTTTATTTTACGTTCCTTCCCTACTGTGCTTCAAGTCAAAGCGTTGGCTACAACTAACGTAAGGGGGTACTGCTTTAGATGTTTAATCACGTGCCACTTTTCAAATTTAAGCGGGATCTTGTTTAGTTTTGGAGGGAATAGTCATTCGGGTGGCCATTTTTAAACGTTGCCGGGTTGGTTGACTATTTCCGTGTTCTTGTAGTGTGAAGTTAGCGTAGAACCTGGGGGTTAAGTACACTACAGTACTAAATTTGGTCTCGTGTGGGCCATATGAGTCTAGTGCGTACATAGGAGAATCATGCGTTTATTCTTTAAAATAGAAGTGAACTACAACCACAGAATAGAAAACAATGCTGTGCTGCAACCGCGAGTCTGCGCACGAGCATGAAAACGTATTTGTTGTAATCTCAGCTTGTGCGATGTCCGAAATTGTGAAGGTTGAAGTGGAACAAGAAGACGAAATAAATACAGGTGTTGATGCAACGGTTTTACTTAACAATGAGGTCTTTGCAACAATAAACAGTGAACATAATGAGATTACAATCAGTGACTATTATTCTAATCCTGTCACATGTGATGGGCAAGATCAAAATGAAATGCAGCAGACGAATACTGTAGGTTCCCCGCAACCTAAGCAACCACAAATTTCGGAAAATTTTAAATGTGATCAGTGTGATTATGCAACCAATAACAAGTACCACTTCGACGCACACTTGTTAACACATAATTCTTCCAAGAGGTTTAGTTGTGTCCAATGTAGTTACAAGACCAATTACAAATCCCATTTGAAAAATCATCTATTGAGACACAAGACTACCAAAGATTTAGTATGTGCTGAATGTGATTATGCAACAAATATTAAAAATAATTTAAGAAAACACCTGCTAGTACACGAGACCATTAAAGATTTAAAATGTTCCCAGTGTGATTACGAAACTAGTAACAAATTAAGTCTCAAACAACATCTCGTGCTAAGACATACGTCCAAGAGTTTAAAATGTGCTCATTGTAATTACGCAGCTAATTATAAATGGCAATTGAAGCGTCATCTGTTAGGATACAAGACATCTAAAAATTGTAAGTGTGACTATGCAATTAAATCTCAATCGAACGAACAGAAGACTGCCAACAATTTTAAATGTGCACACTGTGATTACTCAAGCAAGTACAAGTCCAATTTGCAAAGACACCTGTTAATACACAAGACTGACAAGGATTTCAAATGCACACAATGCGATTATGCAACCAATTACAAATTCTGTTTTAAATCTCATTTGTTAACGCACAAGACAGCCAAGGTGTTATTTAAGTGTTCCCATTGTGACTACACGACTCATAATAGTGTATATTTTAAAGGACATATGTTGACACACAAGAAGACTTTCAAGATTTTAAAATGTGATCACTGTGATTACGCAACTATTTATAAATCGCATTTCACAAATCACCTTTTCACGCATAAGACGTCGAAGGATTTAAAATGTGTAATGTGCCATTACAAAACGAATTATAAATCCAGTTTGAAACGACATATGCGAAGGCACCTTATTGTATAATAGCGTTTTCGATTGGCAAAACTCGTACTGCACAAGTGTTGCTCGAGAAACTGAAGAAATCCATATGAAAATTGCTCTCAATGGAACATAAATATTCGTAAATATTTGTTGTCATTTGTCCATAACCTCATTTTAGATTTAGGTAATCGACAAATCTCAATTCTAAAAAATTACAAACGATTTCAGTATTATTTATGATAAACGATGAGGAATATAAATTTGAAATTCCTGTAAAGGACCAATTTTTGGCGTTCAGTTTAATGAGTAAGTGCAACTTTTTGTAAAATAGAAGTTATGGCTAGTTCATCATCTTCGCTATCGCTAGATGACGACAAAAAACTCTCCCAACGCAAGAAACAAATTCAAATTGTCGCACGTTTGTTTTGAAAATTTGTTAACTAGCAGCTCCACGAGCTCTCGGACCTCGTGCGTCGAAATTTGCACTGAGTGCGTAATTGTTGCATCACATTTGCCAATGGAACACAGAAAATTGCCCTAAAATTACCAATAGAACGTAAAAATTGCATTCGTGCAGCACGAGTTTTGCCAATCGAAAACGCTATAAGACAACATCTGTTGTGGGTTGTTACCAAAATGTATGTGTTGTGGATACACAAAGAAAAGGAAATATTTCATTTGTTATTTCTATTATTTTTTCTAGTTCTGGCACATTTCAGTACAGGTACAAGCTTTTAATTCATTATATATGCATATATATATATATATATATATACATGTCGAAACGTTTTCCCGTGTTATTTCACTCTAGAGCCCCTAAGGGTGAGGGGGAAGCAATTTCAGGAAGATGTCGAAAAGATATGGTTGTAAAATTAATGAGTATATTTTAGTTCCGCGCTTTGCTGTGAAGAGCGCGCGCAGGAGCTTTGGTGTGTATATTGAATATACAAACGCAATTTCATAACTGCGACTGAATGACATCCAGCGTATAATTGCAAAAATGTACGATTCTACTCATAGCCCCTAACTACATCCGAAATTTGGCAATCGCGCCTTCTATAAATAAACTCCACGATATCTGCTTTTGCGCCTATTTAGCGAAATAAACGAAAGAAGAATTACATTAACGTTTGGTGTATAATTAAAAGTTTATACTAGCCATCTTTAGAATTAGTACTATATTTTGAAACTCTCCTTTGAATTAAAAATTAAAAATAATTAAAATTAAAACCTATTTGCACCATTTTTAGTCAAAATGTTGCATCGTATTAACCATACACGAAATTTCGTTTTTGAATATTTCTGGTTATTGAACACTTATTTGTTCTAAATACTGCTACAGTCCTTTGAATTTTTTTTCGAAATTGGTTTCTAGTCTATAACTTTTGATTGAGAAGTCTGATCGAAAAAGTACGAATTGATTGGATTCTACGCAACCAAATTAATGAGAAAACGTGTTCTCCCGAGAAATTTTGGTGTAGTCGATTTTTGGTAAAAAAGGAAGGTGATACACTGCCTTTTTTTTGAGCCCCGAAAAAAAAATTGTCTCAGATCGACCCGGAAAAAAATTTTCTTATAGAATGTGGACTGTAGAATCCATAATTTGAAACAGTTCCAAGATTGGGCTACTAGTTCAAAAGTTACAGCCCTTTGAATTTTTTTTCGAAATTGGTTTCTAGTCTATGACTTTTGATTGAGAAGTCTGATCGAAAAAGTACGAATTGATTTGGATTCTACGCACCCAAATTAATAAGAAAACGTTTTCCCGAGAAATTTTGGTGTAGTCGATTTTTGATAAAAAAAGGAAGGTTATACACAGGGGCGGACTGGGTACTTACAGGCCATTAAAGTATTAGCACAGATCTGTGGTATTAGTGTAGTAATGAAGGTGGTGGGGGGGGGGGGGGGTTAGCTCTGAGGTGCACCACAAAAACATTTTAAAGTACTCCTTTCTCGAAAATCAATTACCATACAGTTTTTTTTTAAATTGCAGCTGATAATTAAAAATAACAAAATATACAATCCACACGAGGTGCGTCGCCTATCATTGTATTTCAGCACTTTCAAAATACTACGACAAAAAATGATAAATTCATTGTAAAACACTTCAATTAAAACAGAATTTTTTAACAACCTAACATCAACCCCAATTAGAGAAACGTGTTAATAATTTATTAATAGTGCAAGAAACTAAATACAGCACATACTTATAAATTTCCAACGGGCCATTATGATCTACAGGCCAGGTGGCAATCGCCACCCGCCCCCCCGTGCCAGTCCGCCCCTAATTTGCACAATTACACTTACACATTGGGATATGTGGGATGGGAGATATTGCCCGCCCCCCCGTGCCAGTCCGCCCCTGATTTGCACAATTACACTTACACATTGGGATATGTGGGATGGGAGATATTGTAAGGGTATTGGAGTAGGTAAATGGTAAACTTTTTAACTCTAAATTTTGACGCTATCTTGTATATCTTTCTAGGATTTATTCAAAAATCATATTTTGACACCAAAATTGTAATCTCTATCCAGGTCTCCACCCCTAAAAACCTATTAAAATGATGTCGTTGTGCAGCGCGGGCGCGGCGCACCGCGCGTTTTATGTTATTTTCGGGCCGTCTGTCGGCGTCGTTCTACTTTTTTAACATTGAATAACTTGCTGTACGCTGTACCTCCATTTTGATATGGAATTCGGGATCCTTATCCATAAAAACATATAAATCGACGTACGACACGTTAATATTGAAAAAAATATAAAAACCAACCCCTTAAAAACACCCCCACTCCTCCAAAACGCCCCAAAAATATTTTTAACTAAAAATTCAAATTCAGAAAAAATCGATGTGCTACATGCCCATATTTTAAAAAAGATTAATCTTTGTATTTTTTGCAGACATTTTTGGGCGCCATCTTGAATTTCTCAAAATGCTCAAGGATGACAGAGTGGCATCAATCGGATTCTTAAAATAGACCTACTTAGTGACATAAAACCGCAAAAAATTTTTCACCGTACCTTACTTCCAGCTTTTTCGGCTGGCTTCCAGACTATTAATTTATAAGTTCATGCGCAAAACACTTTCCCCACCTAGAAATTGCATGGTTGCCAACTCTCAAAAATGTATGTATCATCTCAAGTTGTATATACAGGGTGGAACCTTTCAATACTAAGCACAAGAAATGTTAATTATAGGATCTCCCTTCTCATACTGTTGATACACGATCCAGCAGCGTGCGCGAGACGAGAAAGAAACGTATACGTACAGCGAAGAATTGGAACTGTATATTGTTCTTCTCCACGGTATAAATGGTTAATTGAAACATACAGGCAAAATTAAAACTTTCTCATTTATTAAAATATATGTAAAAAAATAGTTATTAGTAACAATATAATTGGTGTAGATATTAATATAATAAGTATAAAAGCTATAAATCCCGCAACATTAGTGAAACTGCTTAACGTGCTTGTCTAAGCTTATCTTCCATTTGCTGCTGAACTCGCACCGTGAACAATTAAATATCTCCGACCCGTGCTGCACTCGCTTGTGCATATACAAATTGGGGCCCCATTTCGAAACGAAATCGCACTGATCACACTTGAACTCCTTTGACGAGTGGCACCGTTGGACATGCGCCGTCAAATACGACTTCAGCTTCGTTGTGTACTTGCAAAGTTCACAATTGAAATCTTCCTCGCCGTGACGCAATTTCGCGTGGATAGTAAGATTGTACTGCAAGCTGGTGGTGTAATCGCACTGTTCACATTTCAAAATTTGCGTGTTGTGGTGCTGTCGCACGTGGTTCTTTAAATTTTCTTTTCGTTTCGTTGTGTAATCGCACTGTTCACATTTAAAGTCGACCGAACTGTGCACACCGATCTTGTGTAGGTGTAACCCTCGGATTGTCTTCGTGGTGAAGCTACACAACGGACAGGTGAGCTGCTTCGTGAGGCCGCACACCGTCTTGTGTCTCCTCATGCCGGATTTGCTTTTGGTTTTGAAAGAGCACAGTTCACAAGTGAATGTCTCAGAGCCGTGATGGCATGCCATGTGTTTGTTTAGGTTTTTCTTTGCGTTTGTGCTATAATCGCAATGAAGACAACGGAAAACTTCCGAACCGTGACTTTGTCTCACGTGAGACGATAAGTACCCCTTCGTGCTTGTGGTAAAAGAGCATTGTTGGCAATCGAATTTGTCCGAGCCGTGTCGCGCTTGGACATGCGCGATGAAATCGCACTTCCTTTTTGTGGTGTACTCGCATTGAGGACAATCGAATTTTTCCGGCCCGTGTGCGGTTTTGATGTGGTGTTTGAGGGCCCCGCTCAGCCGCGTCGTGAACTTGCAAAGGTCGCAATGAAGGTTTATTGGACCGTGAACCGCCCTGATATGTTGGGTTAGGCCCGGCCTCCAGGCTGTGGTAAACTTGCACTGCTCACAGATGAATCTTGTCGTTCCGTGGTGACGTTTCAAGTGGCCGATTAGATTGTCCTTGCATTTTGTGGTGTAACTGCACTGTTCGCAAATGTACTCCGTGGAGCTGTGGCGCCGTCTCATGTGGTCATCCAGGTATGATTTTAAATGTGTCGAAAAATCGCACTGTTTACAATTAAATTTGGCCGAAGTGTGTCTGCGTCTCAAGTGTGCAATTAGGTGCAATTTACACATTGAGCTGTAGTCACAGTGCAGGCAACGGTACTCTTGCAGGCTGTGCCACCGTATCACGTGACTATACAACGACGATTTCAAATCCGTGCGAAAATCACACTTGTCACAATCAAACTTTCGCACCCGATGCTCTCTCACGTGCGCCAGAAAATCGGTTTTCAAATTTGTGGTGAACTCACACGTTTGACAGTCGAATTTCATCAATCCCTTACACCGCTTCAAGTGCCTAATCAAACACGACTTCCACTTGGTACTGTACTCGCAGTGGTGACAACCGAACTCCTCTTCGGTGTGAAAGCCGGTCACGTGATTAATTAAATTCTGCTTCCATTTCGTCGTGAAGCTGCAGTGCGGACACTCGAACTTCACCAAATCGTAGCAGCTATTGCGGTGCCTGACGAAGTTCGATCGCCGCGGCGTCGCGAACCCGCACTTTTCGCACTTAAACGTTTGCGAGCCGTGCGTCGTTCGTACGTGGAACGATAAATTTTCTTTCCGGTGCGTGACGTAATCGCACTGCTGACATTTAAATTCAGTCAAATCGCGATGCTCTTTCGCGTGCTTAAATAAATCTCCCCTGCGTTTGGCGCTAAAACTGCAAACCACGCATTTGTATTTGTCGCCGTTACCCAAATTTTCCTTCTTCCCCAATTTACAATCGTACAGTATTACTTTCCAGCCTCGCAGATCTTTAAGGGCACTTTGTTTACTGGTTCGTCTTCGGTTGGGACGTGAAGTCAAAAGACGACGCCTGCGTTGTTCACGTATCGACGAATGATTTAAGTACAAACTGTCTCGATCATACTCTTCGTTTATGTAGTAATTTTGTTGTACTAAGGAGTAGTTTATTTCGTCTTCGTACTTCACCTCCACCTGATCAATGATTTCGACCTCGTCATCCGGTTCGTATTTAATGAAGGGCATATTCCTGCTCTGGGGTCAGCCCCCTTATTTAGAATGCATAAGGGGCATAATGGACATGGAACTACAAAGAAAAAATATTTAGGTTGAATGCGACACAAAAACTTACACGTCAGTAAAACGTAAAGAATTTCAATGTAAAAATAAAAAAAAGCAAAGTTGCATCTTGAGTTGCTTTGCCCTGGGGCAAGGGGTCATGTCTGAGATCTAACCGTAGACGTCACATGTTTACGACATACATTTTAAACTACTTGTTGCGTTTGGTTCTAGAACTACCAGGGTGCATCTTGCCTACTCCCTTGAAGTGCTCTAAGGTTTATACTCGTGTATGCGTTCTGATCACCCCTTTTGCTCTAAAGTGTTTATTTAATGGTACACCAGAATAAGGCACTGTAATGGTCCTAGGGGTTTATCAATCCTTGGTAACTGTGGATAAAAACTACGAGCAGAGCCACCTACTTTTCAAATCGAAACGATAGACGTTTCGCGGCACTTTTGAATTTGGATGGCATTCGGCTCGATATGGGTGGCACGAATGAACTTCTACGTTGTGTAATCGGTTCTTGTATGCAGAGCTGGGATAGTTACTTGTAAAACAATAATAATAATAATAATGTTTATTCGTTTTCAACAACAAAAAATAAAAATAAAATGTAACAATAAAATTAAATATATCGAAAATGTACATATAATAAACCATATTTAGTAACTCTATGAATAAACATTTAAAATTATCACAGAAGTAGTATATCGACTTGTACGTGATAATGGAACTAGTTACAAGTTACTAGTTACTTTTTAGAAAGTATCTAAGTTACTTGTAAAAAGTTACTTTTCATATAAAAGTAACTAAAGTTTCTAAATAAATTAAGTTACTTTTAAAAAGTAACTTAGTTTCTTCTAAGTTACATTTTGTATAAATGAAAAGGACACATAACAATTTCTTTATTCTCAAAAATACAAAATAACAATATTTCTACAGTAAAAATGCCAGTAGAAAAAAATATTTATCTTGGAGAGAAACTAGCGTTATAGCCGTTTGTCTTTAACAACACATTTTCGAAATTTCTGTCTGAAAGGTTGTTTCTTCTTGGCGAATCGATAAATGTTGCAAACGAAAACATGCGTTCTACTGGCGCTGAAGATGGCAAAGGAGTATTAAACTTCAGGAATACTTTTTTAACTAACTCATATTTGTTTAACATTTTGAAGTTTGTATCTGGATCTTGTAAATACTGCAAGACCTGAAGATCTATTTGGCCTTTTTGTTCATCGGAAGAAACTGTGCAAGCACTGCCCACTTTATTCAAGCAGTCAAATTCGAAAAACTCGGATGATAGGCATGGTGTAGATGCAGTAGATGTTGCAGTGGCCCTATTTTTATCTATACTACGGGAAGGAAAAAATCGTCAGATTCAGTAGTCAAATCGTTATGATTATCCGTTTCAACATCAGATATGTCATCTGAACCTGAAGCTTGTCCATTAAATTCTCCAACTCTAATGTTAGTGTTGTTACTGTTACTAATGTTTATTCCGAATTCTTTAAAGGCCTTTATAAAGTTGGATCCATTATCAGTCACTGTGGCAACCAATTTGGTCGTATTTAAATCAAAACTTAAATTAATTTCTTCCAGAAGTTCTGCGATCTTGTCATATGTGTGAGCACCGGTAAACCGCTAACATGCTAAAGTACAGGATTTTCGTTCAAAAGAATCTTTGTATATCCAATGACATGTTATACCTAAAAAGCTACGTGTTTTGCTTGACCATATGTCAGCAGTGGTACAGAAAAAATCAACTGGTTTAAAAGTTTCTCGTAAGTTCTTGGATAGTTCAGTTGACATTTCGAATATTTTTCTGACGGCGGTTGACCTTGACATCACCTTTAAGTCCGTGCCTTCGAAAATAAATCTGAAGCTTGGTCGCTCTATTATGGAAATCGCAGACATACTGTCAACAACGAAAGCAATGATCCGTTTATCAAATTCAGCTTGGTTGATTCCCATTGTAGTCTTTGATAAACATTGCATCAAAGATTGGGTTTTAACTTTTTTTTCCACTTTTGGGTGTAGCGGAACCTACATCAGCATACAAGTTGTATGTGTTGGGACGTGAGACATAATCGGGAAGGGAATTAAATAAAAGACAGAACTTTTGTGCGTAAGAAATGACAAGAACAAATAAATATAGTACGCACACAACAAGACCATACCAGGGAAACCTTCTACGGGACAAAAACCCCGGCATAGGCCACACAAATACATGAAATAAATTACCTACAACAATAAAATGCAAGAGAAAATACACATAAATCTCAAATTGTATGATAAAAAACAGATAATCAAATCAAATGCAATTAAACAAATTCATAAAAACAAAATACACAAGACATCATAAATGCAATGGAAAACATGATAAATCAATTCAGTACAAAGACACATCAAAATACCTGTACGATCAATTGAGCTAACACAACTGGTAATATAATAAATTGCATGTAAATGGTGTGGCTCTACTCCAACCTTCAGTTAACATAAATTAATTTAATACGAAAAGTACATGTGAGAATGCCAATAGCAAGTATTCATGTGAAAATCGATTATCGCTCAAGCAGAACATATTTTAAATAGAGGAAATGTTAATTAGAGGGCCACTAAATATCTCGCATTGCTAAGACTCCAAGAACTGCAAGCCGCACGATACGAGTAGGCAACAGATACAGCGAAAGGTCGAACTGTATTAGGTACCTACTCCAAAGAGACAGAATGAACCACTAACGTACACAAACATCGAATAAGAGAGCCCCCCTTCGTATAGCTAACGCACAAGAACTGCAGCGCGCCATGAATAAAAAGTAACAGATACAGCGAACAATCAAATTGTATTAGGTACTTCCTTCACGGAATAGTTACGAATCAATCGAATAGAGCAGCATCGCACTGATAATCAACTCCTCGCGAATACAGAAATAAATACTTAATAAAACAAAATAATGGTATAATCATCTCATCTGTACAGTATAACAAACACGATCCATCTAACGGTACTCAAAAACAAAAGCATGGAGTACCTACGCCATACTTGGATATCGCAGTTTATGCAAAATCAGCAAAATGTAAATAATATCAAATTGTGGCAAGAAATACAATGATTAATAGCTAGTACAAGAAAGAATAAAATGGTTACTACCTGTAATTACAACTTTAAAACACCACAACCAAAATAATCAAGAATACAAACCGGGAATGGGTGATGCCTTCCGTCGATCCCGCCGCCATCTTCTTTCTTCCGACAGATTCGTTACGAAAATCCCCTATCATTCGGCGTCTGCGCAAACGGTCGATTGGTTACATACAGAGCATATCATATTTTTGTTTCAGATTAAAGGTGTGTTGCCTAACCATAAGGGTGGATAATCACAAGGTGTAGCTTTGGTGGCACAACAACTGTGGTTCTTTGCTAGAAGACGTTTATAGCAAACCCCTATAAACGTTTAACATTAAAATTGAACCCTTAGCCGTTGAAATGAACAATTTTCTTGTAAGAATTGTTTCTTAATTAGCACATACAGACATATCTCTCGTAGAGCTGTGTAACTTGGATGGTGCGAGAACAAATTTTGACTATCTGATTGAAACACACACAATTCGACTCGCTCGGCAATGCCTATGGTCTCTAGGCGAGTTCGGCACAACCCTAGACAAAGTAAAAGTAGTTTGCTAGGGTGATTTTTTTTAGGTTGAACTCGCTCGGCAATCCCTCTAGAACACTCATTTTCAAGCAAATCTAACCGGCAGTTCCCGTGTACGCAGTACTTTGATAACTAAAACGGATCTGATTCAGCAGAACCGACACGTACTGAGATGTCTATATCCCTTCCAATACCCTGTATATTTCAACGTCGGATGTAACCAAACAAGTAGTTGGAGATTCTGGGGACATGAGCCACCGCCATCACCACCCTGTTGATATTTTTGTTTGAACTTCCGGGAGATTTTTTGGCTTGGCGTCGCTTGTTGGTTGTTAAAGCTTGTTGGTGGCGGAAGTATTGCATTCTGAGTTGTATTCATAGAGTTTTTGCTTTATTTTGTGTTTGTGTTTAAGTTTTAGCCACTTTGGTGTCGGGTAAAGTATTTAAAGTAGTTGAATCTGTTTATTATGTACTTTTGTTATATCAAGTATTTTCCATCTAACATGTGCTAATATGTAGGTAATTTACAAGATGCTAATTGTTAACTAATGTCCATGTGCTTGTGGAAGTCTACAATATCTCAGGTTTAGACCACGTTTAATTCAGCTACAGGGTGCACACGTGCACCTATGTTGAACCTCGATTTCCGTGCAATGCTTGGTGAATTTAGGTTAGGGTGACTCGTAACATTCCCAAATGTGTGTGCTTCGTTGTATGTAAGTAATATCTTCCTACCGTGAGAGGGAGCTCGGACGGTAGAATTGAAATGTTTTCTAGAGCTTAAGCACAAAAGGATCCGAGGGCCCTCGAACCTTAAACTTTAGGGGCACAGCATCCTGAACCAGGACCGCCTTATCCATGGGCGGCGACCCATCTTTTAACAGTCTTCAGTTTCGTGTCTTTACGTGACCAATGTCAGGGGAGTGTTACGAGGTACAGGTAGTAGTTACGGAGGTCTGAGCTAATACGATCATGTGCCATTCTTTTGTTTTAAATTTAAGCGGGAATTGTGTTTTGATCCTGGACGTTGCAACGTTGCCACTTTGCCCTACAATGTGTCATGTTCGCTTCGAACCTGGGCTTGGGTTGAGATCAGTACAAAGGCCCAGGTATCTGGATTAATGATGACTACATAAAGAAAATCGTAGAGGACAGAAAACAGCTGATCCCTCACTTTAAATAAGCGAGGAAGAATGGCTCCAATGTCTCCCTTAGACTTAACAAGCTGTTTGTGGATGGGAGCCGAATATTTCAGGAGCGAAGACACGGAGAGTCAACCGGATAACAAGCGCACGCGAGAGCATTGCTCCCCAGGGAATGACAAGCACAATCAACAACCGAAAAAGATAACGAAAACTAATACGCGAAGGGAAAGGGAAGGACAATAATGATAATGCTCTGAAACGAAGAATGCCTAAGAATACTACCAATGAAACGAAAAAAAAAAAAATAAAAATTGGAACCTGGAATAAGAACTATGGTAAGAGTAGGGAAAATGAAAGAAATTGCCAGAGAACTGATCAAATACTACTTAATACAAAGTAGAAATATGAGCCTTACAGGAAATAAGAAGGAGAAAATCCACAGGGAAGAAACGGACTCGGATTTATGATCAGTAAATAATTCAGAGAAAGCTTGATACTTTACTTCTCATTGTGGAGGATTTAATTGAATTTTGATGAATGTGTAAGTAGCGGTCATTTTCTTTAACCATCTATTAATTATGCGTTTCGGGACCGTACTATTACTTTGTAAATAACCCTCTTATTAATAGGAGGTAGGTCGAATTTTATGTGTTTTTTAAACGAATTTGATGTAATTTTCTTTACAGGGTTTTGGTTTCAAGTTATAATTTTACATCCATTTTAATTACAAGTTAGTTTTAATTATGATTGGTTCTTGCCCCATTGTAGTCTGATCTCTTCGGCGTCTGGGGAATGCAGACGCGATTTCAAGGACATCTGATCTGAGATAACCTGTAATTAACAGCGCTTGGAACATACAATTGGGAAAATCAAATTAGTAATTAGTGGTAATTCCTCTTCAAGGGATTATATCAATATTTTTTAACGGCGCTACTCTAACACAACTCCACTATTTCTGGCATCGATCCTCACTAAAGGGAGTGCTCCGCTGTTGTCCGTAGAAACTGAAACAAAGTATCGACATGCAACAAAAAAGCAACCCCGCAGCCTCGGAAAGCATTCGAGTTAGGTCAAGTCTTCCATCGCAGAGTCCAGCGCGGAGTCTAGACGAAATGAAACAACTAGCCCGTCGAAGAAGAGCCACCGGTGCCTACCGCATCAACCACCGCCAGATCGCTCACCGCTGAATATAGCACGGACCGGCACACCACGTCCCATGCAATGCACTACGCCATCACCCGCAGCTTCCATCGTTGGCCACGTGATAGACCACCGTTTAGAAACTTCGAAACGCCATGAACGATCTATTAGACTCGGGCCGCTTCGTTGCCGCTCTCGGGAGCATTTTATTGAAAAGAGCGCCCCGGTCACCGACCGGCGGATCATCGCAGACAGAGACTCGCAAACCTGTCATGGCTGAAAATATCGAAATTGGCAACGTAGACATTTTATTGGTAAACCCCCGTAATAAGTGCTGTAAAATTCCTACGTTAGATGTTTTTCCCGAGACCTCTACCAGATGACCGACCAGAAATTCATTTCAGTTAATTAATTCATACCAGAACCATATTTCATTACACTTCCAACCAGAACCATTTCCCGTGCATTCCAGAACCGATCATTAACAATTATTCCTGTATATGCGCGACCAGATACCGGAACTACTTGTTCGTTTATTTTTCAGTCACCATTTAATTCATTGTTAATTTCTCATCAGGCCTGTTAACTTGCCTTGCTAGCCATAATGACAATTCTGGTAGGGAAATGGTCCACCGACTACCGTTACCTAAGCTGCAGCGATCCTTTGGGTTTGAGCTTTAGGTCGATCGACTTGACTCAAACACAATTGTCACAGTCCTCCGTGATTGCTAAATCAGGCCCTTAGGGGGTTGTTGGAATCGCTCGGAAGATTCCTTTTAAGGAACGTTAATCCTAACCGGCCTTATTTCGAAATCCTTCCACACATTCAACACTACGCACCAACGTATAAATAAAACACGTGGTGGGTTATTTTATTTTGATCGACTCAACATCCGGCCTTTGATAGCGATTGTAAATAGACGTCGACGATGCCGGCTGACTGATCCTGGACTGCTGACGCAATGCAAGTTACCTACATTGTAATTTCGTAATAATTAAGTAATCTTTGCATTTCTTTACATCGTATTTGTGTTTTGTATGCAGCATGTTATATTATTCAATCTTTGTTTTTGACATTGAATTGAGTTAACCTTAATACAGAATCACATATTTGATACCGTTAACCTATTGTTTGTAATCGTGTAGGCTTTTGATTACTTGGTCTTGTCCCTGAAGTAACATTCATATAAATTTTTATCATTTTATTTTAATATGTGGAAATTACCGAGATGTTTGTGTAGGTGTAGTGACTTGTTGTTTGTAACTAACTTTTTCTCCGGGAATGAAGCAGTCACCGGAGGTGGTAATCATATGAGCTACGACACCTAATTCCGTGATTGTCTTCGACATTCAACTGTAAGCTCGAAACCCCGAAACCAGAGGCGGGTTACCTATCTTGCAGGAGCGGGATTATGCTAATCAAAACTCTGCGGTGCGATAAATGAGTCGCGATGCGCTAATTTCCACAAATAATGCCGTAGTTGAATTTGCCTACAAAGCCATGCCATTTTCCACCTTGCTCCTAACAAAAGGACTTTATTGCATTAAAGATTAGTTACATCATGTACCCTTCACCCTTTCCCAGAACCTGCTTACTTGTTAACTACTTTTAGACTGTATTAATCAAACTGCAAGGTTTTTCTCCGTCGTACTCTTTTTACCCTTGGCAGTTACTTTTGCGTAGTAGTTTTGAGTACAACACCTTTTGACTTTGCTTACATTAATTGTACATCAACTCAATTTCCGGGATTTCATAATCTTAATAATAACGATCATTATTAAACAAACTTTTCACAATTTCAGTGTTTTATTTTACGTTCCTTCCCTACTGTGCTTCAGGTCATAGCGTTGTTTACCTCCACCCAAAAAGATTAATGGCTTTCAAGCATACCACATACGAATAATAACATAATACGATCATTGCTGCCACCTAGTTTTCGGCCGACAAAAGAAAAAACTACAGTTCAATCCAGCGCCCTCTATTGATCGTCAGACGAACTAGTCGGCTGAATGTGCCTGATTGTATATTAGTAAAACGTTTCGTCAACCACTTCGGAACCGGTGCAGTTACGGTTGCCTACCGTCCAGGGGTCGCCGCGCACGCCGTTGGTGGCCATGGCAACACGCACAGCAACCGTCCATTGTGTGAAAGCACTGCCAAACAAAACGCATTGTACACGGTGTTAAGCAAAAAAAATCCGATTAATTAGAAGGCAAAAGCGAAACCGCTCGGACGTTATTAATAGCTCGCGGTCACGAAATGTCTCTTTTTTTCCCCCGTGCCCGCAATAGACGCCGCGTTCGGCCGATCACGGATCAGGGTCGCTTAATATCAGTTCCCTAATAGCGTTAGCGGTTCGTGTTCTATTAGAATGTTTAAATAGCGCGGCCTTTTACTGTACTGGGTGGGTACATAGAAGGGGCAAAGATGAGCCGTGCGCTATGTTTTCTAAACAATATCGAATCAGTATCGTTCTAACGTCGTTTGTGATGGCGCCATGCTGAATGCGGTCGCGAATTTGCGATGTAAACGTAGTGCCTATTTACGGTACCTCGCACTCGTGTAATTATGTAGATTTTATCAAATGCTAAGAATTTTTTTTCTAACGTATGCCAGTTTTTATTTGCCAGTTTTTTTAATTTAATTTAATTTACAATAATAAGTGCCAGTATTTTTTTATAATAATTATCGTGCGCGCCGCTTTTTCATGTGGAATTTTTGATCGAAGGTGTGTAGTAAAAATTATTATCATTTTTACTCTAACTAAGCCAATTTAAATGTCAAAAGCCTCAAATGCATTAACTCTTGCTTAATGATTGTATGAAATTACTGTTAATGTATACAAGGACTAATAGAAAAGTTGTAGATAAACACGTGTTTCTTCTGTTTTTTTTTGCGCTCGCACACGCCTCGCGCACCACGATTGACAGACAGCTGCAGTTACATGCGCAATTATTGGACCTTTGTTCGTCATTTCACGCAAAAATTGATTCGCTCTTTTCAGTGAAAGTAACAGTATATTGCACATCCCAATCTCACTAGAACAGTAAATTACCGTTTCTTAATAGATTAGAAACTAATTTCAGTGACCGCCTCAGCGTGATAGAAAATGCCTGGACGCTGTACATTCTAATTTGTATTGCTCAATGAACGCGTTGACCAAATTCGAAAATGTTTGGAAGCATCTGTCACGGCACCTGGGCCCATAACCTCTGTAGCGGAATTGTTCGTATTTAACCCTTGTCGCAGTGGAGCGTTAGAATTATTGGAATATCCTCTTTGGGTATATTCTCTAATATGCCGCACCTACAAAAATATATTGCAACGTTGCCAAATTGCGAATCGTTACACACGATAGTGTGAGGAAGTCCATCTTTGATATACTGCAGAAATATTCTAAATCGCTCGTTTTAGGTGTATTGGGTGAGGTGAGGAGATTTTATGGATATTCACGAGGATATTCACGATTTGGTAACAAAATATGTATTCCTTATATGCGTGTCATGTTTTTGGCGCAACTTATTTTATTGGTCCAAGGATATTCTGTATATGCTGTTCCAAGGCACTTGGTCATGCAGACCCACGAATTGAAATCCATCTTTGCGAATTTCGTGGATATTCCGATCTAAATACTGTAGAAATATACCCGAGCAATTTTTCTGTGAGTGGCATATTTTTGGTCTTTAGAATTTGGTCAAAATGTCACTTTCAGCTGAAATTTGGTCATGTAGACCCACGAATTGAAATTCTTCCTTGCCAATTTCGTGGATATTCCTATCTAAATACTGTAGAAATGTACCCGAGCACTCTTTCTGTAAGTGGCATATTTTTGGTCTTAAGAATTTGGTCAAAATTTCATTTTCAGCTGAAATTTGGTCATGTACACCCACGAATCGAAATTCTTCTTTGCGAATTTCGTGGATATTCCGATCTAAATACTGTAGAAATATACCCGAGCACTCTTTCTGTAAGTGGCATATTTTTGGTCTTAAGAATTTGCTCAAAATTTCACTTTCAGCTGAAATTTAGTCATGTAGACCCACGAATTGAAATCTATCTTTGAGAATTTCGTAGATATTCCGATCTAAATACTGTAGAAATATACCCGAGCACTCTTTCTGTAAGTGGCATATTTTTGGTCTTAAGAATTTGGTCAAAATTTCATTTTCAGCTGAAATTTGGTCATGTACACCCACGAATCGAAATTCTTCTTTGCGAATTTCGTGGATATTTCGATCTAAATACTGTAGAAATATACCCGAGCACTCTTTCTGTAAGTGGCATATTTTTGGTCTTAAGAATGTGGTCAAAATTTCATTTTCAGCTGAAATTTGGTCATGTAGACCCACGAATTGAAATCTATTTGTGAATTTCGTGGATATTCCGATATAAATACTGTAGAAATTACCCGAGCCGAGCACCCTTTCTGTAAGTGGCATGTTTTTGTCTTAAGAATTTGGTCAAAATTTAATTTTCAGCTGAAATTGATAATGCAGACCAACGAATTGAAATTCATCTTGCGAATTTCGTGATATTCGATCTAAATACTGTAGAAATATACCGAGCACTCTTTCTGCAAGTGGCATATTTTTGGTCTTAAGAATTTGGTCAAAATTTCATTTTCAGCTGAAATTTCGTCATTCAGACCCACGAATTGAAATCCATCTATGGCGAATTTGGTGGATATTCCGATCTAAATGCTGTAGAAATATACCCGAGCAATTTTTCTGTGAGTGGCATATTTTGGTCTTAAGAATGTGGTCAAAATTTCATTTTCAGCTGAAATTTGGTTATGCAGACCCACGAATTGCAATCCATCTTTGTGAATTTCGTGGATATTCCGATCTAAATACTGTAGAAATATACCCGAGCACTCTTTCTGTAAGTGGCATATTTTTGGTCTTAAGAATGTGGTCAAAATTTCATTTTCAGCTGAAATTTGGTCATGTAGACCCACGAATTGAAATCCATCTTTGTGAATTTCGTGGATATTCCTATCTAAATACTGTTGAAATATACCCGAGCACTCTTTTTGCTAGTGGCATATTTTTGGTCTTGAGAATTTGGTCAAAATTTCATTTTCAGCTGAAATTTGTTCATGTAGACCCACGAATTGAAATCCATCTTCGCGAATTTCGCGGATATTCCGATCTAAATACTGTAGAAATATATCCGAGCACTCTTTCTGTAAGGGGCATATTTTTGGTCTTAAGAATTTGGTCAAAATTTCATTTTCCACTGAAATTTGGTTATGTAGACCCACGAATTGAGATTCATCTTTGAGAATTTCGAGGATATTCCTATCTAAATACTGTTGAAATATACCCGAGCACTCTTTTTGCTAGTGGCATATTTTTGGTCTTGAGAATTTGGTCAAAATTTCATTTTCAGCTGAAATTTGGTCATGTAGACCCACGAATTGAAATCCATCTTCGCGAATTTCGTGGATATTCCAATCTAAATACTGTAGAAATATACCCGAGCACTCTTTCTGTAAGTGGCATATTTTTGGTCTTAAGAATTTGGTCAAAATTTCATTTTCATCTGAAATTTGGTCATGTAGACCCACGAATTGAAATTTTTTGCGAATTTCGTGGATATTCCACTTTAAATACTGTAAAATATACCCCAGCACTCTTTCTGGTAGTGGTATTGCTTTGGTATTAAGAATTTGGTTAAAATTTAATTTTCAACTGAAAGTTGGTCATGTAGGCCCACTAATTAAAATTCGTTTTTGTAAATTTCGTGGATATTCTGATCTAAATAAGTATATTCTATGGATATTCTATCATCGTACATCAGTCGTTAATGAAAAATGAATCGTTTGCATGATACCATTGGCTACGTTCGTGTGGTAAATCATTTCAACGCAAGTTTTTAGAATATTCCGGTATATTCCATGAACCATTGACATCGATACTAAGCAATCTGAGAATTTCGGCCCGACTGCTACCCCTAATCCATTACTGACTTAGTTTGACATGGATTGTTATACTTAGTTACCACAATAAATTAAAAAACACTCCGAATGGAATAGAAATATTATACAGAGCGTTCTGTAGTTCATGGGCACTGCAAAAGTGAGCTCACGTGGAACTATTTACTACGTACTTAGATCGTGTGAGATCTGTACGAGGTGTTATCTCACGTCCTACCTTCTGATAGCATAAATCTGATAACAAACGCTTATCGGCCACGCGTAGTACTACTCCCAATTTCCTAAATAATGTGTATTCTTGGTTACAGGAGGCTTAAATGTGCGATCTAAACACCGCGCCCTTCTCAAGCTAACCTTCAGTGATAAACAACGCTAGTGCCTTTACGATCATCAATGAAAGCATTTTCGTCAGCAGCTCATTAGGGGATATTCATGGTTTTAATGGTAAGTGTCTTTTGTTTCATATTTTGAGTCCACACTCGAGTAAAAGGCGGCGGTGTTCGGCTAATCTACTCCCCCCCCTTTTTTTGAAAAAACTAGTATTTAGTTATGTTGAGAGAATCATAAAATATTTTAAATTATCATCATGTTTGCATTGCTTTTTAAATATGAAAAAATTAAAAAAACAAATCTTTAAATTTCCAGAATGTCGGAAACATTTGCCGGTAACTTAAACTACGTTTTTGGACACACTTTTCAAAAAAATGAATATTTAGAATTTTTTTGGAAACTTGTTTGAATATTTTTGTCGATTTTTAAAATACTTTACAATAGATTCGAACGTTGTTACAATCAATCCCTGATTGTTTTCCTGTCAAGCATAAAATAAAAATTTAAATTTACCTTATCCTAACGTTTTGTGGGGGGGTACTTTTTTAAAAATTAAAAATAAGAAAATTCCTTAAATAATTAACGAAAAGTGAAATTGTTAAACGACTGAGCTCATAAGTTTAAAAAAATACTAAAATTAATTTCAAACGATCTATCAGCACTTATTTACGAAGTTTGAAATTATTAAATTTTGAGATAATTTTTAAATGCTACTGTAGCAATCATTGACAAAAATTTGAAATTTTTAAGTTTCATTTTTCAAAACTGAAATTAATTAAAAAAATTGACCAGTCTTCTATTTTCTTCTGGACTTTGGATTTTTTTAGGCTCTGTGTTTCAAAAATAAAAATCAAGAATTCAAAAAAGGTTGATCCATATTTTGGCATGAGGATCAAAATTCACTGTACCGTCCAAATAAAACTAAAAATCTTCATAGAATTATTTAGCTGCCTTTGCGAGAAAACGTAACGAAGTTCGAAATTGCGCCATTCGACAGCACGTTCAAACGTAAAAAAAATCGCCTCGCATCGCCGCGAGCGCGTGCGACCACTTCAAGGCGAACGAGTGTCATCGCAACTCTTATTACCGTTGTATAATTGAGGCGTGGCCGTATTGTTAAGGAGAAACCTTGATTTTTTGTTTTGTCCTAATAACAAACTCAAAAAAAATTTCTGGTTAGCCATGGCTTAGGTACGCGAAATTTGGAATTACTCAATTATCCTCCCGGTTCCGTATTCGACCGCATTGCGAACTTTCTAAAAGAAGACGATTGCAATTACGCAACGAATTTTACATTACACTTAAATTCGGACGTTTATAGGCGTTCTAAAAATGGCACTTAATCGCGATAATTGCCATGTTAAAAGAGCGGGTCAAAAAAACGACATTCACCTGTGACAAGGACAAGGGGCACACCGAATCCGAATTCTGTGTGTCCTCTGCCGGAAGGTTTGTTTAATAATCAACGCTATGGGTAGGTGATAATTCGATAAGTGGATAGCGATAATTATCAATGTACCCAAATGGTACACTTCCGTTGGATAATAATTATCAATATCAATGTTTATTTTGCGCACATATCTGGGAATAGATTCCAAAAGAATTCCAAAACGATTTTTGGGTTGTCGATTTCAAAAGATCCCATGCATTCGGCTCGCTCGACATTGGTGTACAAACACTGCGAGCCATTTTCGTTGTGAGAAGAGCGAGCTCGAGCTATGCCGAGCTCGCTCGCCATTGGCATACGCTTCGAATTTTGTGACCGGAATCGTTTATAAACCCCGAAATTGACAAAAGGCTTCCAACACATCCGGATGGAAATTTTAGAAAGTTCAAGACCCCTCACGGACGTGCCCGCCCCCTATTTAACTCAAAATCGCCAAAAAACTTTACTGATGATGTCATCGGTGCATGATTTAAGGGTTCTTTGCAAATTTAAGGGTGAAGGAGTGTAATAATCAAATTTTGACCGTCACCTTAACTTTTTACGGACTACTTGATTCCGTTGAGAAGCTTGAGTTACCTCAAAACCGGCCGTGACCTTCATTATATTATATTATATTATGTTATTATATTGTATTATACAATCCTTTCTGGCCGAAAATAATGTTAGCGAATCAGTATTTTGTTACCGATTTATGTTTTCGCAAAGATCGCCGTTTTTTTAGGTTTAGATGAAAGATTGAAAAGGCGTGGCGCGTGTTTGGCCGTAGGTAAACGTCGTTTGCCACCGTGGACGTAGAGATGCGTATTATATTATATTATGTTATTATATTGTATTATACAATCCTTTCGGGCCGAAAATAATGTTAGCGAATCAGTATTTTGTTACCGATCTACGTTTTCGCAAAGATCGCCGTTTTTTTAGGTTTAGATGAAAGATTGAAAAGGCGTGGCGCGTGTTTGGCCGTAGGTAAACGTCGTTTGCCACCGTGGACGTAGAGATGCGTATTATATTATATTATGTTATTATATTGTATTATACAATCCTTTCTGACCGAAAATAATGTTAGCGAATCAGTATTTTGTTACCGATTTACGTTTTCGCAAAGATCGCCGTTTTTTTTTAGGTTTAGATGAAAGATTGAAAAGGCGTGGCGCGTGTTTGGCCGTAGGTAAACGTCGTTTGCCACCGTGGACGTAGAGATGCGTATTATATTATATTATATTATATTATGTTATTATATTGTATTATACAATCCTTTCTGGCCGAAAATAATGTTAGCGAATCAGTATTTTGTTACCGATTTACGTTTTCGCAAAGATCGCCGTTTTTTTAGGTTTAGATGAAAGATTGAAAAGGCGTGGCGCGTGTTTGGCCGTAGGTAAACGTCGTTTGCCACCGTGGACGTAGAGATGCGTATTATATTATATTATGTTATTATATTGTATTATACAATCCTTTCGGGCCGAAAATAATGTTAGCGAATCAGTATTTTGTTACCGATTTACGTTTTCGCAAAGATCGCCGTTTTTTTAGGTTTAGATGAAAGATTGAAAAGGCGTGGCGCGTGTTTGGCCGTAGGTAAACGTCGTTTGCCACCGTGGACGTAGAGATGCGTATTATATTATATTATGTTATTATATTGTATTATACAATCCTTTCGGGCCGAAAATAATGTTAGCGAATCAGTATTTTGTTACCGATCTACGTTTTCGCAAAGATCGCCGTTTTTTTAGGTTTAGATGAAAGATTGAAAAGGCGTGGCGCGGGTTTGGCCGTAGGTAAACGTCGTTTGCCACCGTGGACGTAGAGATGCGTATTATATTATATTATATTATGTTATTATATTGTATTATACAATCCTTTCTGGCCGAAAATAATGTTAGCGAATCAGTATTTTGTTACCGATTTACGTTTTCGCAAAGATCGCCGTTTTTTTTAGGTTTAGATGAAAGATTGAAAAGGCGTGGCGCGTGTTTGGCCGTAGGTAAACGTCGTTTGCCACCGTGGACGTAGAGATGCGTATTATATTATATTATATTATGTTATTATATTGTATTATACAATCCTTTCTGGCCGAAAATAATGTTAGCGAATCAGTATTTTGTTACCGATTTATGTTTTCGCAAAGATCGCCGTTTTTTTAGGTTTAGATGAAAGATTGAAAAGGCGTGGCGCGTGTTTGGCCGTAGGTAAACGTCGTTTGCCACCGTGGACGTAGAGATGCGTATTATATTATATTATATTATGTTATTATATTGTATTATACAATCCTTTCTGGCCGAAAATAATGTTAGCGAATCAGTATTTTGTTACCGATTTACGTTTTCGCAAAGATCGCCGTTTTTTTTTAGGTTTAGATGAAAGATTGAAAAGGCGTGGCGCGTGTTTGGCCGTAGGTAAACGTCGTTTGCCACCGTGGACGTAGAGATGCGTATTATATTATATTATATTATATTATGTTATTATATTGTATTATACAATCCTTTCTGGCCGAAAATAATGTTAGCGAATCAGTATTTTGTTACCGATCTACGTTTTCGCAAAGATCGCCGTTTTTTTTAGGTTTAGATGAAAGATTGAAAAGGCGTGGCGCGTGTTTGGCCGTAGGTAAACGTCGTTTGCCACCGTGGACGTAGAGATGCGTATTATATTATATTATATTATGTTATTATATTGTATTATACAATCCTTTCTGGCCGAAAATAATGTTAGCGAATCAGTATTTTGTTACCGATTTATGTTTTCGCAAAGATCGCCGTTTTTTTAGGTTTAGATGAAAGATTGAAAAGGCGTGGCGCGTGTTTGGCCGTAGGTAAACGTCGTTTGCCACCGTGGACGTAGAGATGCGTATTATATTATATTATATTATGTTATTATATTGTATTATACAATCCTTTCTGGCCGAAAATAATGTCAGCGAATCAGTATTTTGTTACCGATTTACGTTTTCGCAAAGATCGCCGTTTTTTTTAGGTTTAGATGAAAGATTGAAAAGGCGTGGCGCGTGTTTGGCCGTAGGTAAACGTCGTTTGCCACCGTGGACGTACAGATGCGTATTATATTATATTATGTTATTATATTGTATTAAACAATCCTTTCGGGCCGAAAATAATGTTAGCGAATCAGTATTTTGTTACCGATCTACGTTTTCGCAAAGATCGCCGTTTTTTTTAGGTTTAGATGAAAGATTGAAAAGGCGTGGCGCGTGTTTGGCCGTAGGTAAACGTCGTTTGCCACCGTGGACGTAGAGATGCGTATTATATTATATTATGTTATTATATTGTATTAAACAATCCTTTCGGGCCGAAAATAATGTTAGCGAATCAGTATTTTGTTACCGATCTACGTTTTCGCAAAGATCGCCGTTTTTTTTAGGTTTAGATGAAAGATTGAAAAGGCGTGGCGCGTGTTTGGCCGTAGGTAAACGTCGTTTGCCACCGTGGACGTAGAGATGCGTATTATATTATATTATATTATGTTATTATATTGTATTATACAATCCTTTCTGGCCGAAAATAATGTTAGCGAATCAGTATTTTGTTACCGATTTATGTTTTCGCAAAGATCGCCGTTTTTTTAGGTTTAGATGAAAGATTGAAAAGGCGTGGCGCGTGTTTGGCCGTAGGTAAACGTCGTTTGCCACCGTGGACGTAGAGATGCGTATTAT